GCCAGGCTGCATCCCACTAAGTTAGTCCGGGATCTTTCACCAACAGGAATCAGGTACTGGGGGAGGGGCACATTTCTTCCCCTTTTAAACAGTGTTTGTTGGTGAGCACGTGAATTCACTTCCTCTAAAAATGGCTCCCAGCAGAAATTTCCCCACGGGCCCTGACAAGAGGTCCTCAGAGAAGCACCTGGCCCTCCACTCAGTGAGCAACGACAGCTCCAACTGTGGCCCCCGGCCTCAGTGGTGGGTACAGCAGTATCTGCAAAGCTTCCGGGGACTTTCAAGGTAACTATCAGAAAGAACTAAGAGATAAAAATAATCCAAAGCATCTTGGAACAGGAATGGTCTGAGACATCTAGCCCCAGAATGACAAACATACAACTGTACCCCATCTGTCTACTGCTAGACCCCCAGTAGGCAGTATCGATCGATCCCTGCCCTCAGCCATTCACAGATTTAGAATCCTCCAGGCCTCCACTACCAATTAATTGGAAATGGCCTTGAAAGCAAAGTTCTCAGCCATTCCTGAATTCTGACTTCTCTCTTTTGATATATGGAGAAATTAAAGTGCACAGAAATCTGCACCTTCGCAGAGACAAGATGAGCCTGGAGGAAAACTCCAGAGCTGACGAGGGTTTCAGGAATTACCTCCTCCCCCAAAGCAACCTCAGCCCACCAGCTTCAGAAAAGGGAGGCCAAAAGAAAGAATTCAGCAGCACCCCTCTCCCACCAAAGCTTCCAGACAGAGGTGCCCAGCCCACCCTGCTCTGCCAACCACCCCCGTGGCTCCTGTCAGGACTGTACATCTATTTTGGGACCACAGAGCCAGCCCCAGGCCCTGGGAGAGCTTCTCTCCATCCTTCCTCCTTCCTTCCTTCTCTAGCCAATAAGTAAGTACTACCCAAGTCCACCCCAGGGTGAGGCAACACGGGGTCAGGAGCCCCCCTCTGATTCAGTCCACCCTCCAGGAGCCAGGGGCCCATAGGGAAGATCAAGCGTGACCTGACAGCAAAGAAGGGGAGGCACAGGGGAGGGCACACGCCCTGACTTCGGGGGGAGGGGGAGAGGGACAGGAGTGGTCTTGGGGATAACACTGCGCAAGGAGGTCTGAGCCAGGAGAGGGCTCACCTCCAGAGGGCTTATGCCCCCACAGTACAGCCTGAGGACAGACAAACCCTGGGGGTATCAAGACCTGGAGAGTGGCTATGCTCCCTACCTACCTACCCTGGCCCCCACTGAGAGCGCCACCTCTCCCCCAGCCAGCTCCTTCCATAGACAAAGCCACAGCAACTCCGCAACCCTGAGAGGCCACAGCCCCACCCCGTGCCCTGCCAGGGAGGGAACCGTGGGGCACGCACAGGGCAAAGTGAAGACAAGATGCACGTGACGAAAGGCCGGGGCCACACTCCAGGGACAGTGGAGAGGCCCTGGGCATAGCCGGGCGCAGAAGACGGTGAGGGCGTGGTCCGTACTCACCTGCACGACTTCTATCCCTCGCTTCCTGTGGGGTAAAACAAAGAAAGCAAAGGTTACTCAGAGGCAAGAAGCACCCTTCCAGAGCATTCTCTACGGCCAGCTGAAGGCGGGGGGTGAGGACAGGTAGCGGCTGCCCCTTGCATGCCATGGTCCCCAGAATGGTTTCACTTCCAAAGACAAGGTCTAAGAATTCCTAGCCCATCCTCAAAGCTACCTTCTGGCAGAAAGAGAAGGTTGGCTCCCCAGGGACTAGGCCAGAGTCCTACAGACACCCCGATCTGTTTTCTTCACAGCCAGCCGCCCCCTCCCCGATCCCAGGGCCAGGCCTTTTCTGGGCAGCTCTGGCCTGAACTGCCACCACATTCACCACCAACAGCTGGTCGCACACCTTGGCCTGGCCTCCCAGGTCCACCCCAGCCTGTCAAGCTCCAGCCCATCCACTTTCCCTCACGCAGAGGACCCCCAAACCCTTAGTCCTGTCCTGGCCATCTATGGCCCCCACTGACACCCCTGCCCACCCTGTGGTCCTGTTTCATCGTGGCCCCTGCCAACATACCCCGAGCCTGGGCCTGGTCTCCCTCTCTCCCCTCACAGCCCCATGCCCTGACTCAGCCCACCCCATTACAGAGCTGGGGCCTCCGCAGAGCACACAGAGGCTCCCTGCTGACTCACCTACCTTTACCTCCCCCACCCATATTCCTTCCTGCAAGATGTTCTGGGCACACAGGGCTTTGTAGCATCTCCAAGCCTTGGTCCCCCACCTTCCACCCAGTCTTGAAGATTCGGCTCAGACAAAAGCACCCCCAGGATGCCTGCTCTGAGCTGCCACGCCCTCTCCCCCACCCACACAGAGCCAGAGTGCTCCTGAGAACTCAGGGCTCCCACTACCCGCCCCCCTTGTTCTGGAGTAGTAATGGGCTGTCAGCAGGGGCAGAGTGCTGGGGAAGGCGCAGGGGTGCACAGACGGCGTGCTGACCACCGAGCCGGAGTCCATTCTCCTGGAAGAAAGGCGGGGCCTCCCGCAGACACAAAGGGGGCTGTGAGCAAGCAAGGGAAGGACCTGGACTCACTCGCCCCGACTCTTTCCTTGGAGCAGGGACTGTGGCTGACGCCATGACGGTGTGTGCCCCATGCTGGCCATGGTGCCTGCCTAGCCAAACATAAACATGTAAGCCATAGCTCAGTTCCTGTGCCCAGCCCAGGCTGGTACTCGGGGCACAATAAATGCTACAGCCACAGCTCAGGCCCTCGAGGGGCTCACAGTCTAAGAGTCCTTAAAGTCCTCACGAAATCGTTTGGGTGACAGGGAGCAGCCTCACAATAGCATGGCTGAGGGGACACCTACCAAACTTACATTTTTGGTTAGCTCATTTAACCAAGTGTTCGCCAGCGTCTTCTGAGACTCTGGCACGGATTAGAACCTCACGAGGAGCCACTATGCAAGACAGCAAGACTTGGCAAAGAGAGCTGACCAGGTCACACTGCAGGATGTGCCTTGCCGCCTGCCCCTCAACCCCCAACACCGCCACAGAGCCCCCCACCCTGAGGAACTAACTAGAACACCACAATGGTTGATTCAGGGGTCCTTGCCATCCCACAGCTTCTTTGCATTTCTGGAAGGGTAGCCAATATCTATCTGCTTTCATGATTTCATGAAAGGACAAACTGGACACAACAGCATAAGCTCTGGGCCACCAGAGCCCACAGCACAGGGACAGACTGCATCAAAAGGAACCTGTGCCACACCCAGTCATGAGCTCACAGCCCACATCGTTTCTGAGCTCTGTGGACATCTCAGAGCCCCGTGTCTCATTCCTAGCTTGTTCTGGCCCCACAAGAGCATCAGTGACAGTAAACTGGCAGTCACTTCGCACGTGCCTGTGCCTGTGCCTGCCCCTGCCCCTGCCCCTGGATAGAAATCTTAAACGGCCAAGGGAGAAGCCCCCAGGGAAGCTCTAAATGACAAGACCGGACTGCACAAAGGGAAAGATAAGGACACAGCAGGAGACCGGCATGTGTACGTGACCCGCAGCAGGTGCAGAGAGCCGGTGCCGCCAGGGCCTGCCTCCCCTCCCAGGGCCTGCCTCCCCTCCCAGGGCCTGCCTCCCCTCCCAGGGCCTGCCTCCCCTCCGAGTTAATCCTCACGGGATGGGCACCCAGGTTATCCCTAGAAACCAACAGGGGTCACTTCCACTCTGCCCACATGAGCCATCCCCAGGCAGCTCTACCTCCCCTGGCCCTAAAAACAAATAGTTCTCTAACTTTGAAGAGAGATGGAGTCCCTAATGAAAAAGAAACAAAGTAACCTTGAGAACTGACGGGCTGAAAACTTTAAGTGGAGCTGAGCTCCCAGGAGCCAGCACAGCCTCCCTGTAGCTCAGAGCTCCAAGAACAAGATAAATTGCAACTCTGATAGAAAAGAGGGGGCTCGGCTTCCGTTTCAGTCCACATAAGGCCATGCCTGTGCAAGAGACCCCCTTGACGGTGCGAGAGCTAAGGAGCCCTGAGTGCTCAGGGCTCGCTGATGCCCTCGGCAGCCCTGAGGGAGGGGCGGTGATGGCCCGCTCCACGGGTGAGCAAGCTGAGCCTGCGAACTCAGGAAGGGCGGAAGCTGGCACAGAAGCACAGAGAAGGACGAGCCTGGTCTCTGTACCCCAAGGCCACGGTGTACCAAGGGAGACTAGGAGCGGACAGGTGGACAAGCGCCTGGTGGTGGCTCATCCACAGCCCAGTCAGGAAAACCAAAGGTAAACCTGCCAGGCTTCCTTCTCCATCAGGAGCTTCTGAAGGACAAAAGTATCCACAGCTTTCTCTCCCAAGCATCAGGTTCCAAAAATCCGGCCATGACCAGAAAGTCCAGAAGTTGAATTATGATCCCAAAGGGGATGAGGGGGGAAGGGGTGAGAACGGAGACGGGAGTGGGGAGAAACGACGAGAAACCAGAGGGTTGGTCTGTCAAGTGATTAACTGCTCCTCCTGGAAACCTCAACTTTTATTTTAGATCCGCCCTACGCACAGACATGCTCAAATAGGCAAGTGTTTTCTGGCTGTGGCTGTTAATTGCCACACTGTCTGTGATAGCAAAAGATAACTGACAGTCACACAGAGGAATACTACGCAGCAGTTAAAAAGAATGAGGATGTGCTCCAGGCACCTGTAGGCATTAATTATATCTAAGACAATGCCATGTGAAAATGCAAAGTATAAAACTCTGTGCAATGCTTATAATTATTTCAGTTAAGATAAACATCCGGGACAAGCATGTGTGCACAACACCCAGCACACACAAAATGAATCTGAAAGTGCTACAAGGAAACGGTCATGGGCTGGCCTCTGGTCAAGGACAAGTGTGGCTGGAGGCGGGTGAGACTTCCTTTTCACTGGGCACTCCCACGCACTTCTTGAATTTTGTTCCATGTGCCTCTAATAGATTTTCAAAACTAGAGAAATAAAATTTCTTTTTAATTATCTTTTCAGGAATAGGTAAAACTCTCGTTGCCAGCATTCCCAGCGCCTGGCATGAAGCAGATAATGGCATCACTCAATCGACTGACTGATGCAGAGAAGCAGCGAGCTTAGCAGGATTGATCTAGAAAAGCTTCCAAATTCTGCTCAAAGAGCAGCTGAAATAACACCCATTGAAGGGCCAGTGGACTGCCATGCACGGGAACATTCAATTCAGATTCTAAGCCCAACCAACTAAAGACTCGGTACCTGGAAACCCCTGGAACACGGACCGGACCGAACGCACTGCAGTGTTAACTGTGGCCACAGCAGGACAGCGACGTGTGTTTTTCCCCTTTATTCTTTCCTGCACTTTCTAGTTTTCTGCAATGAGCATAGATATTACTCCCAAAATCACAGAATAAGTAACAATGAAAGTTAAATGATTAAAGAATTGTACCTTGTATGTACCTGGAGAAGAATTCTTCGGGCTCCAAAACTCGTTTTCTTGATAAATACTGCATTAAGCTTTGGAGAGGGGTCTGCCCCACAACTCACAAATATAAACCTGTTTTCCCAATAACTACTGGATTCTCACAGAAGGGAGGATCCATTTTGCGAAAAAAGGACTCCGCCTGCCCCCAGCCCAAGTCCAAGTCCAAGGAGAGCACAGCCTTGGGGAATTTAAAATACTCATTTACAAAACAAACTACCCTTTCAGGAGAGGAGGAAGAGCAATCAGAGAAGGCTTCAGGAAGGAGGCTGCATCTGCCATCTGAACAAAAACTGAAGGGAAACTAGAGACAGACACGGGGAAGAAGTTCAAGGGGAACAACAGGAGTCAAATAGCAAAAGATGTCTGGGGTGTGGGAGCATAAGACCCACTGAGAGAGCAGGCGGGGGCCAAGAGGTGTGGATGGAGATGGAGGCCGGGCATGCCCCAGAGGCGAGAACGGCACAGCACAGCCTGGTCTTTACCCCGCGGGCCAGTGGGTCCCAGACCCCAGGGCAGATGACTAAGAATCACCACTGGAGGTTGTGAAAAATACTAATTGGAGGTCCAGTCCTGAAGACTCTGATTGAGGAGGTCTAGGAACAGGCCCTGGGAGGGGTCTGGTTTGTCAAGCACCCAGGTGTTGCTCGGGAGAAGCCAGGTGTGAGAGCGGCTGCCAGTCCACCAGGAGTAGAAGGACTAGACATGCCCAGGGCGAAGGAGAGCAGGGGGTCGTCACTCAGGGCAGCCCTCCCAGGTCCTGGGGACAAGAGTAAAGGCCACGAAGGAACCAGAAATAGTTGTGATGCTCACACATGGGGCTCACACATGGGGTCGTCACTCAGGGCAGCCCTCCCAGGTCCTGGGGACAAGAGTAAAGGCCACGAAGGAACCAGAAATAGTTGTGATGCTCACACATGGGGCCGCAGGCAGGGCCATGCACCGGGACCAGGGGACCATGGGAGAGCGCGTCTCGCAGGCAGCTGGGAACTTTCTTATTTTTTTGACCAGGAGGTGGTCAGATGCCCAGGACTGAGCTGGGCAGACAGCTCAGAAACTGTCTGGGCATCAGGAAGAAATGAGAGAGG